AGTCGATTGGTGAAGGATCTAAGCGACCTCGGGAAGAAACAAAATAAAGTACATTTAATCAGGAGGATCCAAGACGTAGTAAACATCAAAGAACATCTACTTCATTTGGACCAGATTTTATGACTTTCTTATTGGAAAATGAGCCTCGAACATTTAAAGAAGCTATGCCTTCGTCAAAATTATTGTTTTGGAAAGAGGCAGTCAATAGTGAAATAGAATCCATATTGAACAACCATACATGGGATTTGGTTGATCTTCCTCCTGGAATAAACCTTTGGGTTCTAAACGAATTTTTAAGAGGAAAGTGAAAGATGATGGCACTATTGATAAATTTAAGGCAATACTTGTAGTCAAAGGGTATAGGCAACGAGAAGGTCTTGACTACTTTGATACATACTCTCCAGTTATAAGAATTACGTCCATACGGATGTTAGTAGCATTAGTTCCAGTGTATGGTCTTAAAATTCATCAAATGGACGTTAAGACAGCTTTCTTGAATGGAGATTTGGAGGAAGAAATCTAAATGGAAAAACCTGAAGGTTTTATGGTTCCAGGTAAAGAAAAGAAGGTATGTAGACTTGTTAAGTCCCTTTACGGACTAAAACAAGCACCTAAACAATGGCATGCAAAATTTGACCAAACAATGTTGTCAAATGGTTTTAAGATAAATGAATGTGATAAATGTGTGTACATTAAAAATGTTCCAAATCACACGGTCATTATTTGCTTATATGTGGATGATATGCTGATAATGAGTAATGACATTGCCAACATAAATGCGACTAAGCGTATGCTAACTAGCAAGTTTGATATGAAGGACTTGGGAGTTGCTGATTTAATTCTGGTGATTAAGATCCATAAGACTCCTCAAGGTCTGGCATTGTCACAATCTCATTATATTAAGACAGTACTTGAAAATTCAAGCACTTAGGGTTTAAAGTTGCAAAGACTCCAACTGACGTGAATCTTGCAGTAGCAAAGAACAAAGGCCAAAGCATATCACAATTGGATTATGCTCGTGTTTGGGATGCTTAATGTATATCATGAATTGTACACGACTAGATATAGCTTGTGCTATAAGTAAATTGAGTCGATAGACGAGCAATCTAGGTCAACCTCATTGGATGGCAATGAAACGAGTTTTGGGGTATTTAGAACATACCCAGGACTTTGCTTTGCACTACAGTAAATATCCTGCGGTGATTGAGGGATATTGTGATGCAAATTGGATCACCGGTTCAACTGATTCTAAGTCCACATGTGGATATGTATTCACTATTGGTGGAGGAGCGGTATCTTGGAAGTCGTCCAAACAAACTTGTATTGCCCGCTCTACAATGGAGGCTGAGTTCATAGCCTTAGATAAAGCCGTAAAAGAAGCTGAATGGCTCTGGAATTTCTTGGAAGATATTTCATTTTGGCCCAAACCGTTGGCACCAATATGCATACATTGCGATAGTCAAGCGACAATTGGAAGGGCTGTGAGCGTTATGTATAACGGTAAATCTCGTCATATATGACGAAGACATGAAACCGTTAGGCAACTACTCTCTAGAGGAATTATCACGATTGACTATGTAAAGTCAAGTGATAATGTGTCGGATCCACTGACAAAAGGCCTAACTAGAGAGGTAGTTGAGAAATCATCGAGGGGAATGGGACTATGGCCGAGAACAAGTCATTGTGACGGTAACTCTACCTAGAAGACTGGAGATCCCAAGATCTAGGTTCAAGGAGATCAAACAAAGTCATTAATGACGGTCCAATATTGTCAACTAAAATTTTGGTCCATTCTCGTGATGAGACAATGTTCAGTACGAAGGATAAAGCATTAAGGCTTTTTAATGATTTCTAAATTTGATACGGGGTGTAACAAATAGTGTATTTATGGGATGACAAGTTTAGGAATCACCTATGTAAGTGTGAAGTGTTAGCCGCTTCAAGGAGAATTTTGTAAGGCCAGTTCTCTACGCACTTATGAAATCAGGCGGTGTTCATGGCTGAAACGAACACAACAAGAAGAACCAAAGACGGTTAAGGTTTGGTTGTGTGACTTATGGTTGTCTAGGTATACACCAAAGTTCGACGGTTTAAAGATATCAAATCTACCGATTGACCGAGTATATCCGACATAAGTTCACTACGGAAAGTTCAAAGGGATTGCGAATCACACAGTTTTTCATGCATATTTCCGTGATATAGCCATTCCCCATTCATGTGGGGGATTGTTGAGGTTCTTATGCTAAAGTAAGCTTAAAAGAGGGTGAATGGGAAATGGAGGGGAAATGAAAATTTTTAGTGAAATTTTAAGTTTTCCCCCCTTGACAATGAGACATTGTCCCATATTGGAAGAAGAAAAGATTTTTGATGGGTATATATACAATTGCTCTTCTTGTAGCTCTTAAAGAGTTAAGAAGAAGGCAAGCCTCGCGTCATCGTAGTCGCTCGCTCGGCTCGGCTTCGGCTTCGGCTTCGGATTTGGATTTGGATTTGGATTTGGTCAAATGATCGGTTGATTGATTAATTTTTTGGACCAAATTTATTTGTTAATAGTAAATATAAAGGTATTATTATTAAATATTCGGTTTTTTGTAAATGAAAAATTAATATTATATCCAAATTATCCGTTTCCTCAACGTCCGTTTTCCATTTTTTGTAACAGAAAATTAAGTTCCCTTCCCGTTCGTTTTCCGTTTTTGTAACGGAAGAATAAGGTTTGAATTCCCGTATTATTGTTGCGTAAATAGCCATTTACGTTATGGCCGTTTTGCTTAAACGATCATGATAGCCCTTCTGAAGAGTCTCAGCATATTGGCTATGTATATCAAATCATTCTCTCAGATTTTCCATACAAATTTCTGAGTTCTCCTCCTTTCTTCTGCATTGTTTTAACTACTAATAAAGCAACAGTAAGTGTGATTTGCTACTGATCTTTGTGTTCGCTGAAACACTGGGGTTTGAAGTACCGCTACACCAGTGTGTAATTCGTTCTATCCTGGGAGAAAATATCCACAACCTTGGGTACTAGGAGGGGATTAAATTTCTTAAGGAAACACTGTGAATTCAGTGGGCTCGGATTAAAATTCTGTTTCTATTTTTTTTATTTCTGTTTATACGTTATTTTATATTCTCCAGAATTATTTTAAAAATACAGTATACTATCAGAATATTCAAGAGTATCTCTCAGAAAATTGTCCTAGCTCGAGAGGAACTGCAGCTAACTCAGGAGATGATAAATGCTCAATGTGTTGACCAGCTCCTGGGAAAAGAAAAACAGATCTTGCTTGATTTGGAGAAATGGTCACTTGTGGAAGAAAGTGCTCTTAGGCAGAAAGCTCGAGCAAAATGGATAAAACTTGGGGATGTCAATACCAAATATTTCTCAGCTTTGGTTAAAGACAGAACATAAAAGAAGCAGATACTACATCTTACATCCCTTACTGGTGTACAGCTGACTGATCCTCTAGCTATTTCTATAAATCCCTCATGGGTACAGCTTCCCCTTCAATCCCAGCAGTTAACAGACTCGCAATGATGAAAGGTCTAACCCTCTCTCAGCATCAAAGAAGGGAGTTATGTGATTATATTACTGACCAAGATGCATGGTCTGGTTTACAGGCCATAGAGGATGACAAAGCTCCGGGTATTAATGGGTACAACTCCCATTTCTTTAAACATGCTTGGCCAATACTGAAGGATGAGGTGACTGTGGCAGTTAAACAATCCTTTGCATCGGGGAAAGTGTTTAAAGCTATTAACTGTACTACGATCACTTTAGTTCCAAAGAATCCAAGTCCTCTGATAGTAAAAGAGTATAGACCAATTGCTTGCTGCACCATATTGTATAAGATCGTAGCAAAAATCTTGGCTGCTAGGATTCAGAAAGTTATACCTAGTATCATATGTGGTGCTCAGGCAGGCTTTATTCCAGGAAGGAAGATCTCAGATAATAGTATCTTGGCCCATGAATTAGTCAAAGATTATGGAAGGAAAAATGCATCTCCCAGATGTATGGTGAAGATTGATTTGCAGAAAGCCTATGATTCAGTAGAATGGCCCTATTTGAAACAGGTTATGAGTGAATTGGGGTTCCCTGACAGATTTGTTTCTTGGATAATGGAATATGTACAAACTATTAATTATACTGTGATGGTAAATGGGAAAACTACAAAGCCATTTGATGTTGCTAAAGGATTGAGACAGGGAGACCCCATATCTCATTATCTATTTGCAATGGCTATGGAATATTTGAGCAGGAAACTACATGAACTTAAGGATGACAAATCCTTTAACTTCTACCCTAGATGTGCTAAATTGAAGATCACCCATCTAAGCTTTGCAGATGACTTATTGTTATTTTTTAGAGGTGACCTGAAATCAGTTAATGCACTTCACCAAGCCTTCAAACAATTCTCAGAAGCTTCAGGATTACAGAAAAGCTCTATCTATTTTGGTGGAGTTGATCAGGTGGAAAAAGATAGAATTATGCAGAAGCTTGGCATTCCTGCTGGTGAGTTACCTATTAGGTATCTGGGAGTTCCCCTATCCACTAAAAAGATCTCTTTTATTCAATGGTAACCTTTAATAGAGAAAATAGTGGTCAGAATTACCTCCTGGACAGCTAAGAAACTCTCCTATGCTGGGAGAGTTCAACTGCTCCAATCTGTTTTATTTGGAGTCCAATCATATTGGTCTTAGCTATTTCATATGTCAGTTAAGGTCATTAAACCGATTGATGCATATTGTAGAAGTTTTGTATGGTCGGGCACTGAAACTATTACAAAAATGCCCCTGTCTCTTGTGAAAAGATCTGTTTGCCCAGAACTTTTGGAGGATTAAACCTCCTTAACGTAAGGATCTGGAATAGAGCTACTCTAGCTAAGACACATTGGGACCTTGCTCGTAAGGAAGACAATTTATGGATCAAATGGATCCATGAGTTCTACCTCAAAGGCTAGCCTCTCACCACAGCCAGAGTTCCCCAACAAGCTTGCTGGATCATGAGGAAAATCTTGGAAGCTCGACAGACTTTGTTGCAAGTGCAAATAAGAAAGGGGCCAAGAAGCCTGACCAAACAAATTTATGAGCAACTGCTACCTAGTTACCCTAAAGTACCCTGGAAATGTGTGATGTACAAGAATGATGCTAGACCTAAGGCCAAATTCATCATGTGGTTACAGCTACAAGACAAACTTCTCACTACTCATAGGTTAGCAAAATGGGGCATAGTTGTTGACTTAGAATGTGTCATGTGCCATACTCAACCTGAAAGTGGGAATCATCTGTTCATGGAATGTGATTTCACCAAAGTAGTGTGGAATAGGATTCTCCTATGGCTTCAGAAGCAGGCAGGGCCAATCACTGGATGGGATCAACATGTAGCCTGGATAATCCAGAATGCAAAAAGGAGGACTCAACAAGCTCACATCTTCAGAAGTGTGTATGCAGAATATGTCTATGCCATTTGGATGGAGAGTAATTAGAGGATCTTCGAAAAGAAATCAAGGAACTGGAGATTATAGCTAGGGAGATTGCCTACTTGTCCAATGTTAGAGCATCTTATGGTGTCCAAAACTTGTTACATAGCATGTTATTCTAGCTTGACTAACTAGATTTGATTACTGTTTGCTAGTTCAGCTTAGGCTTTTGATATTTTATTTTCTTTAGATAGCTAGTTGTGTTAAACTGGCTATGGTATTGTAATGTTGATTCCTGGTGATTAATATAAAGTTAGTTACCAAAAAAAAAGTTTCACTTCTATATGAGTTGGATTCTTTAATAACACTTGATAGGTAGGAGTGTAGGACATTATGTAGGGATGGCAATAGGGCGGGGCGGGGACCGGGCGAGTTTGGAAAAACCCACAAAAATTTCAACCCGCCCTGCCCCGCATAGTTATTTTTTCAGTTTTCAACCCGCCCCGCCCTGCCCCGCCCCGCCCCGCCCCACTTAATCTTTTTTTCTTTTTTCTTTAATTTTTTTTCTAAAACAAACTAGTTTGACATTTTATTATTTTATAAAATGGAGAGTTTAATAGAATCACATAAACATAAAACTGAGAGAGTATTACGTTGATCTTATAAAATAAATGGGTTACTATCATTTCCGATTACTAATACGGTATCTTGACTTATGTAATATCATTTTGGTGAGACTTATGAAAATTGGTTAATTATAAATCAAAATAGTATTCGTGCTTGTGAAGAAGAACGTGAAATTGTAGTTGAAATGATTGCTTTATTTCAAAAAAGATCAAAGTTGCCCCGCATTGAACCCGCATTAAACGCACAACCCGCCCCACCCCACTTTAAAAATTTTAAAAATTATTTTGACCCGCCCCGCCCCACCCCATTGTCATCCCTAACATTATGAGATGTTAAACCTGTCAAAATAGAAAGTAGAGAATGCAAAATGTGATAGGGTTCAACTTTCTCTATCACCCAAAAAATTAACAAATTGCTTTACGCGTTTGACCCATGAAAAAAAAAAATCACGCCTCACAAGTAAAGGGTAAACGTAATAATATAATTAATAATTAAAAAGTATACAATTTATGTTGCTTTTAGATGAGATTACATAATTTTGTATGATTCAGCTACCATACGAGTGATCCACCGATATTGATGGGACTAGTCTTACTGTACGCGCTTTGAGAGTGTTTTCTATTTCAATAAGTAAATATTTTAAAAAAAATCACAGAAGTAATATTAGACAAGTGTTTGAGTTGTAAAATAAAAGAGTTTAACTTTGTAAATATATCTTTATAGATTTTATTTAGCCAGCTCAATAATTGATGAAATCTTGCAACATGGAAGTCCTCATAGTTTTATAGGAATATCTTGTGAATATTATTGTTATTTTTGTGTTCTAATATCGAAAACGAATAATTCAAAAAAAATACTTTTATCATGATGATTTGTCAGATTATACAAAATGAAAAAGTAAATCTTTTGGTCTTTTATAGATATAAGAATGACAAGATTGGCCTATAGCTCCTACAAAAAAATTAATATATGACAATATAAATTCTAGAAATAACTAATGTTGAGTTAATATTTTATAACAAATAATTTAATGAATAAAAAATATAGCAAGCTATCATTTGTTGGAATATTTATAAAAAAGAAAAGAAAAAAGATAATTAATGGAAACTCATTTGTAATACATGTTATATATTTTTCACTGCATTATTACAAATTTTGGCCTTTAAAATTTTCATACTACACATAATTTTTAAATTGTTTTTTTTTTTGGTTTAAGGGATGATTATATTGGCAACTAAGATTAAATAGGTACATCAACAGAGGGGTATATAATATCCCCTAAGGGATAACTTTTAGATTGTTAAAATAGATTAAAGTTATAATAGTCAAAATATGGATTACACTTTAATGATAGAAGTATATTTTTCAAAAAAATAATTATATAAAGTCAAGTACAATAGTTTAAATATTTAATTTGGAAGAAATGTGTATATTGAATGGAACTTTTACGAGCTTTCTTTACTTTCAGCCCGCGTAAGAAACTATTTAAATTCGGTACCCGAAAAAATATACTCCATAAAATTTGTATTATTTTTGTATATAACATACANACATATAGAATGTATGTGCGTATATATATATATATTCGGCTATTATTTTGAGAGCGGCTACACAATATCATTTTCCCAACTTTTAATTGCTTTATCAAATTTATGTCCGTGCCTGGTCTCGCCCAAACTCACACCACAATTATAGTTAGTGAGGCGGTCAATGCAATAATAAAAACCCAACGCAAGTCGGGGTCGAATCCATAGGGAGTTAGAATTGGGATTAGGTATATATTTAGTGTAATTGTATGATGCCTCAAATTGCACTTCCACATTCTTGTTTGTTGTTTCTATTTCTATTTCAAGCTATTGATTGCAATTATAAAACTAGGAGACAATATTATTTTTTTTTGGTTATTTTTCAAATGATAAAGAATCTAGGGTCATGATTTTCACCTAGGTGGTTACCTAACGGGTCGTAAACTCAAGGGCAAGTTTGATTAGTCGAGGTTGTAATATAGCAATCACACGCAATTACACACTCTATACATCTCGATAGTTTGAGTGATTCTGCCCAATTTTGCTTTCTCAAGACCAAATGGGTATTGCACAAAACAAGTGATATATGCTCAAGTCGGGTCTTACTATATCTAGATTTGACCCTTTAATTGGGGCTATCAATTTCTTGAGTTCACCCCAAATTCTTGTTAGCCAAGTTTTCCTAGACTTAGTCTCTCTTTCTCAAGTAGAGACTAAGTCAAATAGGCATGAATCAATGTTTGCAACCATTAATTCTTGGATTCAAGCAAGAACTAGGCTAAATATCACTAACCCAATCACAAGCAAGCCCTAAACTAAACACCCATAAAGTACCCACACTAGGGTTGGGCGCAACCCTAGCTAGAAATTTAGCTACTCATGAAAAATGCAGAAATTAAAGAAGAAATTAAGATAGAATGCATAATAATTGATTAGGGAAAAAAATCTAATGTTTAGAAGCTAATCTAGTACAAAATTACTCAAAACAGTAAAGAAAGCAGCTCAGGTGCTCTCCCCAAAACAAAACTTGACCTAAAAATGACAAAAAGTTCTATTTATACTAAGCTGAAAATATCTGACAAAAATGCCCTTGCGGAGGTTGTGCGGACTGCACATTTCTGAGTGTGGCCGCACTCTTGCTTCTGAAGCCGCACAATTATAGTGCAGTCCGCACTCCTTGAACCTGAGCTCTGGCTTTTGCGGGTCTTCTGCGGACCGCACAATTCTGAGTGCCGCCACGCTCTTGATTATGCCGCCGCAAAAAAATGGTGCGGTCCGCATTCCTTCTTGATTCTAAAATCCTATCTCTCTGATCCTTGCCTTCTGCGGACCACATAATTGTGAGTGCGGCAGCACAATTGTGGTGCGGTCCGCACTGTAAGCCTTTTTGCCTTGTTTTGGTTATTGTCCACTTTTGACTCCTTTATGAGTTGATATTGACTTCTTTGGCTTGTTTCCCAATATTCCTGTACGAATGCACATTTCATTAGTTCTCGGTACTACCTTTAAGCATTTTTTGAACTAAAACGCAAGTAAAAGAGAGCAAATAAGCGGTCAAAATTCCTACTTATCAACTCCCCCAAACTTAAGCTTTTAGCATTTAAGGCAATTCCCAACTCCACTAGAAAAGGGATATTTCAGCTGGCCTAAGGTGAATCAATCACACATCAATTGGGACCAACAATTACCCACAACACGTATGAATTATCAACAATGCAATGATTTGACTTTTTAAGTACAATATTTCTAATGTGAGACTAGAGCATTAAGAGTTGACTCTATTCATCAAGGACGCTCGCTCTATCATGTAGGTCATTGTGGATCTCATACTCCTCCTCCTCTACTCTCCATTAGCAAATCTCACTTTAGAATGTAACACTCGAATCAAGGATGGCGAAAAGTTCGCTCATCTCTCTCAAAAGAATATCACAAGTCCGGCTCTAAGTACCTAAGTTTGCCCCTTATGTAAATCACCGCTAATGTAAGCTTACTCAACCTGAAATCATGTAGGGCTTTTGCGGGATGTAATGAAGGCTTTTGGACCAGGGTAGGACTTGTTGGAATAGAATAGTTTCATCTTTCCTTAAGCACTCCATTTTCTCTTTTCGGGTCATACTTTCTCGACTCTTTGAGTCATTTTCTTTTTCCTTGGGGGAACTAGAGAGACGTAACGTCACTCTATCTTGGTCATGACATTCATTTTTCTCCTTTTCTATTTACTCCATGCCTTTCATCATTATTTTCTTTGAATCCCTTCAACTTTCTACCTTATTCACTTTCTTTTTGGCATTTTTCTTTTTGTTCTTTCTTTCTTTTCTTTGCCTTCCCTTTTCTTTATTTCTTTCTCTTCTTTGTACCTTTTATCACTTTTAAACTACTCATCTCTCCCCCTAAACTTATGTTTTTTCCAATTGTTTCTCAAGAATGTTGAGGAAAGATCCGGTGCCAAGAGAGGGTCATTACAAAACGGATAAAGGCTTGTAACGTGGTTATTCAAAGAAAAAGGGCTTCGGCTCAAAGGGGTTGACTAGGGATATCACATTGGTAGGCTATGGAAGATTTCAAATTTCAAATTGGATCAAGGAGAGCCTACAATCATTTCTCAAGCCAAGCTACTTAGAATTTCGCCTAGAAAAACATTCGGGGCAAGTTCTAGACTATTAGCACGGGTACTTGGACTTGTAACTAATCATCTCACCTCTCACACTTCTAGATTGCTAAAGAGAACGGGGTCGAGGGCCCATAACAACCCTAGATAAGATTGAGAATCACAAATGGCTCGACTGAACCACTCGATGACTGCTTAAGTCAACACAAGAGTCAAAAGGTCACAACTGGAGGTATTTTCTGCCAACAACTATGTTTTTAACCATAAGGTCGTAGGTAAATGTGTTGGTACCAAGTGAAGCTTGC